CCATTTTGTGGACAGTGTGCAAGGCAAGTGCCCTGCCCACTTTACTATCTCTCTGGCCCTATGGTTTTCTGATTTGTAAAAAGAATATAAGAGCTAGCTGCAAGAAGCATAGAAATGAAATGAGATACAAGTAGCAAGCCCCATCACCGTTCTTCAGCTAAGAATCCTTTTCTCCTTCCTTGCTCTATTCATTCCAATTCTTCTATAAAGAGGGTTCAAGGTCAGGCACCTCCTCTAGAGAGCTTTCCTGGATTGCCTTACCCACTCTTAGAGGTGCTGCTAAATTTAAGGGATCTCCCTCAGCACTAAGTACACTAAGCAAGACGTGTCTGTTACCATGTTTCTCTGCTCACAGCTGAGGCTTCCTTAAGTTTGAAAGCAAATTTAAGTCACCTCCAAGATCTTAGAATAAGGTCAGGCCAAACAAAAATCAATGCACATATATTTCTGATATTTTGAATCTTTAATTCACACTAGTAGTATACCTTCTGAGGGCAGAAAAAAGGGAGTTGCTTGCTAATATTTCCCTATTACTTTCTTTGGAAGAAATATACCCAATCAAAAACAGCTGAAATAATCAATCCCTGGTTCTCAATCTGGTTCTTTGAATCAAGAAATTCTAGATAATAAAAAAACAATCTTTGCAGAGTGCTTCAGAAAGAGACTAGGGAGGCTATATTATTTTCAAAGATCAGGTAAAGGTAAAAGGCCCTCCCATTGATCGTCGATTTGCTCGAGCGGGCCCAGTAATGTCTCCATTGGAGACTTTGTTGTTACTGTGTTTGGCATATCGAATACTCTCCGTAGCTTGCCGGGCTCTCCGAGAGGGGCGGAGGAATCGAACTCGGGTCGGCCATGTTGGCCGCTTGTAAGGCGAATGCCTTACTGCTGTGCTATCGCTCCAGCCCAGATCATGCATGCTTTAACAAACAAAAACAATAACAAAGAAGGCGGAAGTAGCTACAAACAGCTTACTAAGTCCTCAGACAAGGGCTTAACAAACTTGTGGTCTAATACAACAATTTTCCCAAAATTCCTTTCACGAAAGAATTTTTGATAATTCCAGTATTTAGTTGTACCAAGCAATATAAACTATCGTGGGTCTTCTAAGGAGGCAGGTGGGTTGGCACGCACAATGCTGGAGGGGTCACTCCACCATTGGTGGGATTGATGGCGGAACATCGAAAGCCTGCAATGACTGTATCATGAACAACTTTGTAAACCACGGTGTTTAAATACACCATTTCATTTTAAACGCAGAAAACCATTTCTGAGAGAAAGAACAATGGGCAATAGCACTTGCTTTCCACGCAGAAGCACACAGGACTCCCAGCACTGCATCATCCCCTGAACACCACTAAGAGTCACCCTGAAAGTCATAAAATGCAGTACTTTTTTTTTTTTAAAGTGGGCCTTCTGACTTTTAAAGCATGCACCTTGTGAGCAGCCTTGAACTATGGTGAAAGTCATTTATAGCTCCAGATAACAGCTGAGTAGGGACCCAAAAACATACAAAACACAAATATCCTCTAAGGGGCAGAGAGGATAGGGAGATAGCTCAAAAAGCAGAGTTCAAACCATGAGTTCAGGCTCTGAACTCATCTCTTTCACTTTCTGCCCCCCCCCCCCCCCCCCCCCGCGCGCACACACACACACACACACACACGGGTTCGGCTGGCTTCCAAGCAACACTGGGTGTCGTCGCTGGTGGACTCTGCAGTCTGAGGACCACCAAGAACCCCACAAGCTCTGTGAAGAGTTGGTAAGGATCATTACCAGGTGTGGCCCTATAAGAAGTACTCCAGATGTTAAGTTTTACTTGGAAACCTGAAACAATTTTATTGTGGTGTGAGAAAGAACCTACTTTTCCCTGCCTTCACCCCTCATCACCCTGCCTTGGCCCAAATCTACTGTGGAAATTTATGCATCAGTCATATGGGTCGGGGAGGGGGATCAAAACAGGAAATATGAGATTTCTGGGTCTATCCAAAGAAGGCAAAAATCTTAGGTTTGAAAAAACACTTTCTTGAGTCAGAAAGAGAGGGATCGACATAGAAAGATTGTATTCATCTGGGGAACATAAAGTAACAAAATAGGAGACTAACACCCAAGAGTGGCTGAAATTAGTACCAGGAGGTTTGCTCCATGGCTTGGAGGCCAACCACACATGCTAGGGGAAAAGGGAGCTCAGATAGAGAAGGGAGAACCAAATAAAGGGTGTTGGGAAGATCCTCTCAGGATGGGAGATGCATGCTGAAAGTAGACTATAGAACAAACATGATTGCCACTCAATGCCTCTCGTGCAAACTACAAGGCCCAAAAGGAGAGAGAGAACAAAAGGGAATGCCCTGCCACAGAGGCAGGGTGGGATGGGGGGGATGGGGGGTGGGAGGGATACTGGGATCCGTGGCGGTGGGAAATGGGCACTGGTGGAGGGATGGGTATTTGATCATTGTATAATTGAAACCCAAGCACAAAAAGTTGTAAGTCTGCAACTGTACCTCATGGTGTCTAATAAAAATTTTAAAAAAAAAGGAAAAAAAGAAAAAACACAATTTCCAACCATTTCTTTAACTACAGAGGACAAAAACCAGGAAGAGGGATATGCTTAAGGTCACAGTTGCCAGTAAGCAGAAAAGACAGGACTCTAGACCCCCAAGATTAGTGCTCCTCCTCTGAACCAGGGGGCCTGACTATGGTTTCGTGACAAGAAAAGGCATAACCATAACTCCAAGGAGCAAGGTGGACATGCATGCGCATGTGTGTATTTACAAACTCTTCTATTTCTCAAGCAATTCAAAACACAGATTAAGGGCTTTCTGGGTCAATGTTTCTGGGCTGCAGTGCTAAAACACCAAATAAACGCCTTTTTAATAGGTTTCAGTTATCCTGGTGAACAATACATTACCACAGGATTGCTGAGGGATCAAAAAAGAGGAGAAAGTCATAAAATGCAATACATTTTTTAAAAAGTGGTCCTTCTGGCTTTTAAAGCACGCACCTTGTAAAAGTGCCACACACTACATCTATAAATGTATACTCCAACCACTTCAATGTAACTGCAAACAAGTAGGAAAAATCTATTCAAATCAAAACCTTTTGAGTACTTTTGGACCAAGTGAAATTTTAAAACTAGACGCATACAAGTGCTAGAAGAAAATGAGAATGTTTCTATACTTTGAAAATGAAATATTACTTTTAACTATGGCTGAAAATCTGCAATTAGGAAAATTATACTTAACTACATTAATAAAAACAATGATTCTATTACAATGAGATAAACAAAATGTAAAAACCATCGAGAAAAGACAGTGATAAATGAAATAAAACTTTTCAACTTGTATCACAGCCAAGATCTATTAGCTATTTTTTTACTTTTTGGGTCACACCTGGCGAAGCACAGGGGTTACTCTTGGCATCGCACTCAGGAATTACTCCTGGCGGTGCTCAGGGGACCGTATGGGATGCTGAGAATCGAACCCGGGTTGGCTGTGTGCAAGGCACTCTACCCGCTGTGCTATCACTCCAGCACCAAGATCTAATATCTTTTTTAAAAATCAAATTTTGTTTGTAGCCTCAGCCATTTGTTCTCAGGGCTTACCCCTGGATCTGTGCTTAATAGCAAAAAGGGCAGGTGACCAGTCTCAGTTACAAAAGGCTGGAAAGAGGATGTCCTCAAGTCTGGGTTTGAACCTTGGGGAACCAGAGTTCTCCAAGAACTCTAAACGAGCTGGGTGCCCCTGAGCCCGGTCTGCTGCTTCCACGTTCCTATACTGTCACTTAGTCACAGTTCTGATCTTTCCTTAGCTCTACCATTTAGCTAGAATATGTATATACATCTTCTAAACCGTAAATTTAGTATGACTTTCATTGAACTCCTCCTTAGGCTTGCCCTTTTCCACTGATTCAGCAAAGGCAACCAACTCACGGTCACCTTTTACTCTCACTCCCAGATTTTACTGAGTCATCTTACTCTATCCACTTCTCTGCCTCTCGACTACCATCATCCACAGGATTTCTTCTGCCCCCTTGATTCTTTATGTACTCTATGCAAACCAGATGCTGTCACTGAACCTTTATGGTGGGAACCCTCTCTGCCTAACATGCCCCCCACCCCCATGTTTTAGGTTAAAAGTTCTTCGGCTGCCTTTTCTGAGTGGACCATATTAATAAATCCGTAAGCCATACACCCTGTCCCCCCCATTTCTTATACCATTTCCTTCACAATACCAAAGCAGTTTTTACTTCATTGTATATATATAATGCTTAGTAGATCAGGTACTGCACAAGTTGGGAGGGGCCAAGAACCACCAGGAGTTAAACTCAAGTGCAAAGCCAGGAATAACAAGCATGTTTTGAGGGTGTGCCCCACACCCTCAAAACAAAGTTTGAAGGAAGTAACAATTTCTGTTCGGTATTCCACCGTATCTATCTCTGTACCTGTGTACCCTATTGCTTAAAAAAGTGGTCACATAGTACAGTGGGTAAAGTGTCTGCCTTGTACAGGGTCAATCCAAGCTATTTGATGCCCATCAATATATACAGTTGGCCATCATGTTCCATAGCACAGCCAACAGTGCCAACTGCACAAGGAAAAATTTCTAATTGACAGCAGAGTTGATTATCATTCAAACAGGTTTATTCAATCTGAATTCAGGCCGTTAGAATTCAGATTCGTGTCCATCCGGAAGCATAAATGAAGTATCCTGAGATAGAGGACAGGAACTTACATGCAAGTTCCTGTGGTTCAAGTGTTGGAGGCACTCGAGATGCATCTATAAACCCTATCAAAGTATGAGACTGTAAACAGATATAAAATTTTTAGTTAAATCAAAAACTGCTTCATTATTCCTCCACGCTCCATTCTTTTGAGAGCAGTCAGAGCAATATAAAGTCCCAGGGAATAAACCACCACCTACAAATTGAACATTATAGAAACTGTCCAAGGAAGCACTATGTAAACAATACATGTTTAAAGTAATTGAGCCAGAAGTTTAAGCTTCAAGAACATCTTTTATTTACCAACAAACCACAAGTCCATTTCTAGGTCTTCTTTGTCTTGTATCACTTCAGTTTAAAAACAGAAACTAATCCTCAGACTCAGATCCATCTTCATCTTGACTGATCTGGAAGTAGCGAAGTTCGTAAGTCTCCTTGTCAGACGCAACCACACGAAGCCAGTCACGGAGGTTGTTCTTCTTAAGGTATTTCTTGGTAAGATATTTTAAGTACCTTTGAAGTAAAAACATGGATTTCATTACTATTAAATAAAGGCCTACAGAAAAGATATTTAAACATGTACTGTGCTCCCTGGCTGATCCCTCCAAAAATTCCCTTTCATTTCTATTCAGCAACTATGCAGGGTTACTAGCAGGTGAAGAAAGAGCTTCAACATTTTTCAGCCAAGTCGAGGTCGGTTTATGCTTTGCCTTACCCTTATTCTCTCATCTCCATAAAATAAACATTTACTATGTTGGAAAGTTGTATGTTTTTTTGGGGGGGTCAAACGTGTCCTCGTTCATGAGTTACCCCTGGTTCTGTACTCAGGAATTACTCCTGGCAGTGTTGGGGAATCATATGGGCTGCCAGGAATCGAATCTGGTTCAGCTACATGCAAGGCAAGCTGTACTGTCTCTCCAGCCTCAATTAGACTGTATGTTTAAGATCAGTGTTTAAGTAGCCATCCTTACAGTCTATCACCACCAGGTATTTAAATTAAATGGCAGCAAACCTTATGTCACCGCCAGTCTTCCAAACATCAAGCCCATAATGGAGTTGTCAACAAAGTGAAGACATGCAAATTCAAGGGCATCCAGACTTGTAACTAGCACATGACCAAATTTTCGTACCCTTGTAGTCCGATTTACTACCCCAGTCATTCTATCTGTACTTTACATCAACAACTGACCTATACCCCTGCTTAGTCTCCGCCTTCTGCTGCTATTCCCAGCCTCACAGGCAAACTGTGTCTCTACAACTCCTGTGCCCCCTTTCTCTTTTAATATACGAACCACCATGCACTGCAATGTAATTATCTGCATCCTTGTAAGACATTCGAGCTTAACCAAGCTACCACTGTCTCTCACAGGAGGTTTCTTCCAAGACTCCACTACACTCCCATAACTTTTCTAGTCATTATGATCAAAAGCCATTAATTTGCCTGGAATTTCACGTGGGTATCCATTTCTCAAATCTTCATCTGATAAACACCCCACCCAACCTCCTTCAATCTAGTTATGAAACATCCATCAACTTAACGTTTTATTTGCCTTCTTTTCTTTACTTCAAGTCAAACTCTCCAATGACAGGTACTTTACCAGTTCACTTTACAAATGAAGCAACACTAATTTATAACCACCAAACCACAACTATTTTAATTAAGCCCCAGCGATAGCACAGTGGTAAGGCGTTTGCCTTAAAGGCGGCCAACATGGCCGACCCGAGTTCGATTCCTCCACCCCTCTCAGAGAGCCCGGCAAGCTATCCGTGATGTATTTGGTATTTGATATGCCAAACACAGTAACAACAAGTCTCACGATGGAGATGTTACTGGGCCCGCTCGAGCAAATTGATGAACGAGAGGACCGTGACCGTGACTTTAAGACTTCAGACATTTCTCCCTTATCACACATGATTCTTACAACATATTCAAATATAAATGTGCCCAACCAAACTTTATTATCTTGGATCACAAGGGCTTAATTCATTGACAGCCTCTAACAAAGTATACATACTAACCAACTTCTAAGTAACAATACTGTCCATGTATTGTCACTAACATTTTTTTATCATTTTTTTTTTATTAGTGAAACACCATGAAGTACACTTATAGACTTATAAATTTTTGTGCTTGGGTTTCAGTTATACAATGATCAAGTACCCATCCCTCCACCAGTGCCCATCCTCCCCCACCACGGGTCCTAGTATCCCTCCCACCCCCCATCTCCCCCCCCCCCCCCCCCCCCCCCCCCGTCCCACCCTGCCACTGTGGCAGGGCATTCCCCCTTGTTCTCTCTCTCTTCTGTTGGGTACTGTGTTTTGCAAGAGAGGCACTGAGTGGCAATCATGTTTGGTATATAGGCTACTTTTAGCATGTCTCTCCCACCCTGGGAGGGTCTTCACAACACCCTTTATTTGGTGCTCTCTTCTCTATCTGAGTTTCCTTTTCACCTAGCACATGTGGCTGGCCTTCAAGTCATGGAGCAAAATTCCTGGTACTAATCTGAGCCATTCCTGGGTGTTAGTCTCCCGTTTTGTTGCTTTATGTTCCCCAGACGAATGCAATCTTTCTGTGTCTATCCCACTCTTTCTGCCTCATTTCGCTTAACATGATACTTTCCATGTAGTACCACTTGTATGTAAATTTCATAACTTCATCTTTTCTAACAGCTACATAGTACTCCATTGTGTAAATGTACCAAAGTTTCTTTAACCAGTCATCTGTTCTCGGGCACTCAGGTTTTTTCCAGATTTTGGCTATTATAAAGAGTGCTGCAATGAACAAACAATTGCAGATGTCACTTCGACTATACCTTTTTGCCTCTCTGGGACATATTTTAAAGTCTAAATACATTTTTTGATGTTGTCTCATAGACAAGTGCTATTCTTACATATGAAAATACTAGAATGACATCTCAAACAATATTCCACCACCACCATACTTTCACTTAAGTGCTGAAGAAACCAACCTTTTAGAGAACTGCTTCTCAGAAACAACGGTGATTTTATTCTTCAGGCGTTCAATGTGAACAACATTCCCGAGATTTCCAGTTTTTCCATTCACTTTAACTTTCTCTCGTAGAAACTGTTCCTATTTCAAAACAAACAAACAAAAAAAGCAAAACTAGGGAAGAAAACCCTAGATATTCACTAGGGAAGGTACCCTAGGAACAGAGCTTAGGTTAAAAATTAAGCATTTAAAAAGACAAATCATCATAAACATCACTGAAAAGAACCTTAGTGATACTTACAAAATTTCCCGAGTCAAAGATTCCATCTTCTACAGGATGCGTAAGATCCAAATTAAACTTCCAGGTTGCCCTCTTAGGCTTCTTGTCTTTCTGTTAAAGTCAACATAATCATAACTCATCATGAGCTCATGTATATATAAGACGTGCCACACCCAAGATTTTCGGATCATTACCAATAAAAGCCGCCCAAAGACACTGCCTTCTACAAACACCGGCAGCAACATAATGGAAACACTGCACTAGAAACCAGAGTGTTTACCAGGTGACATCACTGCCATATGACAGCTCAGGTTAGCATGTCAGCATGCTCGCTAGAGGAAAAGGCTGCTCAGACAAAGGGAGCACCAAGTCAAGGGTGTTGGGAGGATCCACCCAGAATGGGAGATGCATGCTGAATGTTGACTACAGACCAAGCATGATTGCCATTCAATGCCTCTCTTGCAAATCACAGGACCCAAAAGGAGAGAGAACAAAAGGGAATGCCCTGCCACAAAGGCAGGGTGGGATGGGGGGGTGGGAGGGACACTGGGACCCGTGGTGGTGGAGGATGGGCGCTGGTGGAGGGATGGGTACTTGATCATTGTAACTGAAACCCAAGCACAAAAATTTGTAAGTCTACAACTGTACCTCATGCTGTTTCACTAACAAAAGTTTTAAAAAAAGTAACAATAAAGAATGTCAGCGTGCCTCGAATGCCCAATAATAAACGTGCCAGAGGAAAAACCAAAGCACCAATCTACCCTCAGCTCAGGACAGGTAAAAACCTATCAGGCAAGAGTGGGCATGGGCTGCGCTTTCCAGTAGGCTGGGCTTTCCAGTTCCATAGCTGGAAATCGAGCTGGGAAATGCAAATCCTTTTCCTCCGGAGATACACGTCACACCTCGGGACCGATGACGTAACTCTGATTAATCAACAGGGGAATTTGACTCGAACCCACCTGCTGTCAACTCGCACCTTAACTTTCCTAGAGCCGCTCCAGGGTCAAGTTCAACCATCAGGTGTGCTTGGCGGCATCAAACAGCAGGAATGCCATCCTCAAAGAACAGCGCCTTGCCTGCCATCCAAGTACTAACCAGGGCCGTGTAGGGAGCGATAGCACAACGGGTAGGGCGTTTGCCTTGCACGCGGCCGACCCGGGTTCGAGTCCCAGCATCCCATATGGTCCCCTGAGCACTGCCAGGAGTAATTCCTGAGTGCATGAGCCAGGAGGAACCCCTGTGCATCCCGGGGTGTGACCCAAAAAAGCAAAAAAAAAAAAATGCACGCGCCTTGTCAACTTCCGGAGTCGGGACCTTCCCTTTGGCAACCCCCTTCCGGGAAGCAATGAGCGCGTCTTCCCCGACTCGGTCCCCAGGCCCCCGACAAGGCGGAGGGTCGCGCGGGCGCCTCTTCGCCCCCACCCCATCCCCGCCAGCCCACCCCGGGGTGGTCTCGGCCGCGGTCGTCCCGGCCCCGCCGGGCTCGGCCGCGCGTTCATCCCCCAGAACCGACATCCCATCCCCCCCAGAGCTCGGTCGCGACCCCGACCCGGTGTGTCCTCCCGCCTCCTCCTCCCGCGAGGCCCCGAGTCTCCAGAGCCCAAAATCTCCTCCCTCCGGGGAGGGGAAGGGGCGCGAGGCGACGCGGCCCACTCACCGGCGCCATGTTGGACGCTCCCCACGCGCTCCAAGAGGAAGTGCGCGCGCGCGCGGCGCGTATTTATAGCGTAGCGGGCTGCGTCGCGCGCGCCGGGCACGTCCAGCACCGCCTCCCGGAAGCGAGTGCGGTATGGGCGGGCCGGGGCGGGGACGGGGCGGGGCCTAGGGACCCAGGGGCGGGGCCTGGAGGAGTCTTAACTCTTGAGGAACCCGTGTGGCTAGTTCAGTTGAATCCCGGTTTCCTTTTAGTGTTGAGGGCAGTGGCGTCTTTGCGGCTTGGGGGAGGCTCTTCTAGAGGAATGATCATTTTGCTGTAAACGTTTGGAGCTTCTTTCCATTCACGGCAAGGAAAAGTCTCAGGAGGGTGGCTTTTTTTTTTTTTGCTTTTTGGGTCACACCTGGTGATGCACAGGGGTTACTCCTGGCTCATGCACTCAGGAATGACTCTTGGCGGTGCTCAGGGGACCATATGGGATGCTGGGAATCGAACCCGGGTCAGCCACGTGCAAGGCAAACGCCCTACCCGCTGTGCTATCGCTCCAGCCCCAAGAGGGTGGCTTTGAGATGTCCTGTGTTAGAGGACTCGGCCAAAGTTCCTGTTTTTTTCTTGGTCTGAGTCTGGTTTTCTAAACAGCAGTGGTATGCTGTCAGTATTCGAGAAGATCACAATTACTCAGGATGAGAGATGCATGCTGAAAGTAGACTCTAGACTGAACATCACTGCCACTCAATGCCTCTTTTTGCAAACCACAGCACCCAAAAGGAGAGAGAGAAAACAAAAGGGAACGTCCTGCCACAGGGGTGGGGAAGATGGGAGGGAGGGATACTGGGAGCACTTGAGGTGGAGAATGGGCACTGGTGGAGGGATGGGTACTCGATCATTGTATAACCGAAACCCAAGCACAAAAATTGTAAGTCTACAACGTGTACCTCATGGTGTTTCACTAATAATTTTTTTTAAAATCAACTAGGTTCTTGTTACAATTAAAGGGATGCTTGTTGAGATCTATCTTACTAAAACGTACGAGACTCCAGAGGGCACATGTGAAGCAAGACAAAAGGAAAACAGAACTTTTGTGTTTTGAAAAGTCGATGTCAGATCAAAGAAGGTGGCCGGCGGGAGCCTGAAAGCCCCATAGGGTCTGGTAGGGCGCCACTCCTGCACCCTGCTACCTGGGTCCATTCTGGAGACAGCGCCTGGAGTAAGTCCCTGAGCACCTCCAGGTGTGGACCGAACCCCAATATAGGATAGAAGGGGAAAGGAGAGTGTAGGCTCAAGAGTGTGGGGGCTTTTGCTTGTTTGAGGGTGATCCTAGAAAGTAACAACAATTCTTTATGACAGCGATTAGAAATTGTGATTAGAAATAGTGTTTGCTATGCTGTAATAAAACATCGAATGCCTAGGTTCTAAATAAAAGTGTTTCATTCTTTCTTCTGGAGGCGGGGGCTAAGGGGCCACACCCTGCTGTACTCAGGACTTATTCCTGGCTCTGTGCTTGGGGTGAGTCACTCCTGCTGGTGTTGGGGGACCATATGTGGTGCCGAGGATTTGAACCAGGCTCACTGTTCAAATGATCGGTAATATAAGACAGAGCTATTAACCCCTGCACTATCTCTCTGACCCCACATCTTACATTCTTACCAGGACTCCATTTCAGGATGTTTTTTATTGTCTCAAGAACTACAATAGTTTTATACCATAATCTCCCTACGACCACCACCGCTACCATACTTTAAAGGAAAACAAAACAAAACTGGCATTTCCTCTTAAAGGACTGCCCAGATTGAAGAGCAGAAATATAAAATAAGGCATCAACTGAAACATTTATTGAACTTATTTTGTTTTTTGGTACCCTTGACCTTATATGAAAATATTGTGGGTCCAGAGCTATAGCACAGTAGGGAAGGCGTTTGCCTTGTATGCAGCCAACCTGAGTTCAATCTTCGGCATCCCAGAGGGCCTCCCAAGTACCACCAGGAGTGATTCCCGATCACAGATCCAGGAGTGACCCCTGAGCATTGCTCGGTGTGACCCAAAAACTAAAAAAAGAATAAAAAGAAAAAGAAAAAAATTGTAAGAATTGTCAAGTCTTTTGTACAAAGGGTACTTGAAAAACACGTATCTTGTTTTTCTCTGCAAAGCAAAATGTTAGATAAAACTGGGAGACATCATGCTAAGCAGAATCAAAAGGAGGACAAATACCAAACGTGCTTTCATATGTAGAGTGTAAAGAAACATAGTAGGAGATTAAACAGTGGTCCATGATAACAGAACCCCAGACTCTTGCCTGTAGAACTAAATTAGCTCAGCGGGGTGTGCAGGGGTAAGAGGAGATCTAGAGGCCGTGGTAGAGTTACAGATGATACTCTGGTGATTGATGTATTGTGGCAACTTTCATATTCCCGTTGTTTGTTTGTTTTGGGAACACACAACAATGCTCAGGCTACTCCTGACTCTTTGCTGGGGGGGAGGGGGGTGGGGGTGGGGCTGGACCATATATGTGCCTGGGATGGAAATCAGCCTGACACCAAACAAGGCTATCTTTCTGGTCCTGTATTCTTTTTTTTTTTTTTTTTTTTTTTATTTATTGAATCACCTTGGGAAAGGTTACAAAGCTTTCAGGTTTAGGTCTCAGTCATGCAAATATCAAACACATTTCCCTTTACCAATACTTTTTTTTTTTACCATGAAGAACCCCAATAAAACCCCACCCCCCACCCCTCCCAGTCCCTGTGGGGCAGATGAATTCTAGTTAACACTCTATCTGCTTTGATTAGATTCATTGTTTCAATAAAAGATTCACCACTATAATTTAGAGTTTACCCCCCCCCCAAATCAGACATGCTGAAAAAGCATTGTGACGTGATTTGCGTTCTACAGCTGGGTTCAAGAATTAAATGTTGGTTTTGGATTTCTGCTATTTTACTTATTGACCCTGGAAGTATTTATACTGAAAGTCAGATAGTTAAGAAATTGGTTTCTGTGCTCTGGAGTCGTGGCCGTGCTGGAGAGCCGCTAGTGGGGGGCAATTGGTGGCCTCGGTAGGGCGTGAAGGGCAGACCGAAACGCCCCCTTCCCATGAGGTTTTAGTCGCCTCCCCACTCCCCCGGCTCATACCTGCTGTCCACAAGGCTCCCATGCGGCCGCCATCTTTCTTTCCAGAGAGGAGAAGGCGACTGGGGCAACACCCTTTCCCCTCCGGACAGACATGATGGCCTGGATTAACGCATAGTCCTTTCACTTTTCTGCTCCAAGCTGCCGGGTTCTGCATTAAGTCTCTGTGCTTCTGGGGCTGTGGCCGTGCTGGAGAGCCGCTCGCGGGGGGCAACTGGTGACCTCGGTAGGGCGTGAAGGACGGACCGGAACGCCCCCCTTCCCATGAGGTTTTAGTCGCCCCCACACCCCTGGCTCATACCTGCTGTCCACAAGGCTCCCATGTGGCCGCCACCTTTCTTTCCAGAGGGAGGAGGGCGGATCTGGTCCTGTATTCTTGAAACATTAATATTAATATTAAAAGTATTGTAAATCATGGTGCCTACTAAACAAAAAACAAAAACAAAAGTGCTGGAGAATAACTAATCATCCCTAAAAAGCTAGTTATAAACTTACACTAGTTTTTTCTCTTCATTTAAAGAAAACACAAATATCAGCCAGATATGTTCAATTGAGTAAACGTTATACACAATGCAATTCTTCTCAAATGTTACACATACAGGACTATAACCACAGTATAACCACATTATAACTCAACACCCACAACTATGATAAATTTTTACACATCTGTGTTCTAAAAGGGCTGGAGCGATAGCACAGTGGTAGGGCGTTTGCCTTGCACGCAGCCAACGTGGCTGACCCGAGTTTGATTCCTCCGCCCCTCTCGGAGAGCCCGGCAAACTACCGAGAGTATCTTGCCTGCACAGCAGAGCCTGGCAAGCTACCCATGATGTATTCGATATGCCAAACACAGTAACAACAAAGTCTCCAGATGTTACTGGGCCCGCTCGATCAAATCGATGATCAACGGGAGGACAGTGACAGTGTTCTAAAACATGAAATAAGTGTCTTAAAGCTAGCACCATTTAGAATAAAGAGAAATTGCCTTTCAGAAACACCTTTATGGTAACACTGAAATATTATGTTAGATAAAAATTAAAGATACATAATATATGATATATATTTAATACATTGTAACACATTAGCAGAGCAAATGATTTATGACACTAGAGCCTGCATAGATCAGAAAAATAAGATGCCAAAAGACATCTTTTGTGGCAGACTAGATTCACAGATAAGTTCCTCCATAGACAGTTCCCAAAAAATGACTAAAATACAGGGGATTTGGGGCCACCCAGTGGTGCTCAGGGCTTACTCATGACTATCCACTCAGGAATCACTCTGGGTTGAACCCAGGTGGGTCATGTGCAGGTAAGCACTGTACCCACTATACTATCTCTTTGACCCCTAAAATAAAGTTTCTTAAATAATTTCTAATGTGTGGCTAAAAGTGAAGTACAGAAAGGGCAAATTCTATTCCTTATATGAGTTTTGGACTAGAATTAGCTCTGTTCAACTAATATGATAAAGCTCCAGGCTAAGAATGAAGTTTAAAGTAGTGTTTCTCAGTCTTCATATAACCCTGGTCTGCTTCCTACCTTGTTTCCTTTCTATTCAGCCCACTCTTACTGGATGGAACCCTAGCCTTATGCTGTGGCCTCCCATTTACATGATTTTCATCTGCAACCATCTTGGAATATACTGGAAGACGTAGGGGGGGGTCATATGACCCTGGCGGAGAAACGCTGGTTTAAAGCATTCTTGGATTGGTATTGCTGGCAGAAACAGTGAAAATGCTGTCTGAAATGCGCCTTTTTTAGAGGGTGGGGGGAAAAAACTCCATAATCAGGGGTAAAACCTGGCTCTGATCTCAGGGATCACTCTTGGTAGTGCTCAAAGGACTATATAAAGTGCCTAGATTGCACCACGGTCAGCTACATACAATTCAAGTGCTTTAACCCCTATACTATATCTTGAACCCACCAAGAAATACATTTTAA